AAGAAACAGCTTTGGGAATGGTCTCTAGCTTATGGCACGCTTAAACCCTGTATGTAGTCATGTCACTGTTCAGCAGCCTGCCACACTTTGCCGACCTTGGGACTTTCAATGGAGTTGAATGAGTGGCCTGCCATGTGGTTTGGTAACATCAGGACTGTGCTTTTTTACTTGTCAACCTTGGGCTTGGTAGCCTCAGCAGCCAGCAGCTCTCTGAGTGAAGAAAAGCCTCTAGCTCCAGTGAGCTGGGAGCAGGAGGCAGAGCTGAAGCCCAAGGCTCAGGGGCTTTCGCCCAGCCCCTAGAGCCTGGCACTTTGAACTCAGACTTAAAGCCTCCAAACTGTAAGAGAATGAACTCCTGTTTGTTCAAGCATCCCATTTGTGGTGTATTCCTGTCAGAGCAGTACTAGGGAACCAGAACACCCTCTACTTCACCATGCATGATATCCTTCTCCAGGGAATAGTCCCTTCTGACAACATGACCAAAGTAGGTGAGAGGAAGCAAAATTCTATCATGTGGTCTCTAGCGTCATTTCTATCACTAAAGCCGTATTTTCCAACTAACGATCCTTCTTCTTTGTTTCCAACTTTCGTGTTCCAATCACCAGTAATTATCAATGCATCTTGATTGCATGCTTGATCAATTCACACTTGCAAAAATTTTCCATTTCTGAAAATGAATTTGGTCTGTAAACTTTCACTCAAATCACAATAAAAAAAAAGTTTTTTTAAAACAAGTTTTCCATTTCTTCTTCTTTGGCTTTAGTGGTTGGTGCATAAATTTGAATAATAGTTGTATTAACTAGTCTTCCTTGTAGGCGTATGACAATTATCCTATCACTGACAGCACTGAATTTCAGGATAGATCTTAAAATGTTCTTTTTTGCTATGAATGCAGCACCATTTCTCTTCAGTGTGAAGAATAGTAGACTGTATGATTGTCCAGTTCAAAATGGTCCATTTTAGCTCACCAATGCCTAGGATGTTGATCTTTATGCGTTCCATTTCATTTTTGACAACTTCCAATTTTTGTAGGCTCATGCTTCATATATCCCACATTCTGATTACTAATGGATGTTTCTTCTCATTTTGAATCGTGCTACATCAGCAAATGAAGATCCCAAAAACTATACTCCATCCATGCCACTAAGGTCAATTCTACTTTGAGGAGGCAGCACTTCCCTAGTCATATTTTGAGTGCCTTCTACCCTGCTGGGCTCATCTTCAGCACTATATCAAACAATGTTTTCCTGATATCCGTAAGGTTTTCAGTGACCTGGTTTTTCTCAGAAGTGGACCTGGCCATGTCCTTCTTCCTAGTTTGTCTTAGTCTGGAAGCTCCATTGAAACCTGTCCACCGTGGATGACTCTGCTGGTATTTGAAATACTAGTGGCATAGCTTCCCGCATCACAGCAACACACAAGGCACCACAGTACAACAAACTGACACACAAGTGGTGTAAATTACTCAAAGAGACGGGTGAGTTTCCTCTAACGGTTTTCTGTTGTCTTTAAGCATTGTTAAGTAGGTAAACCATACTCAATTTAGAAAAACATTAGTTTTTCTTTATCCTTTAGTTTCAGTTTATCCTTTCATTCAACAAGCATTTATTGATTATATTCTATGAGAATGGCACCATTCTAGATGGCAGAACACACAAAGATAACTCATCATAAACAATATAGTAAATTACACAATAGGATTAGATGAGGAGAAAAAAGGGTCAGGGAAAGCTTTATTGAAAAAGTGATACTTGAATTGAGTTTTCAAAGATGAGAACGTTTGGGGAGGAGAGGGTTGGAAAAAAATTAAATTCCTGAAGGTAGCAATATTAAATTCTTGAATTGTCTAATTCAGTGGTATACCAGGAGCTTTTGGGCCCAGGTTAGTGGCCAACTGTGAATGAAAAAGGAAAGGAAGATCCTTCGTGTCAAAGAAGATTTGCTTTTCTAGAATAACTCAGAATCTGAGAACGGTGATGACTGCACGTAGCGTGCATCGTGAAGTATGCTGTGACGTGCGCTCTGATACACAGACACTGACAGCAAATGACACGCGTCCTCTCCTCTTCCCACAGGGAGCTCCAAAGGATATGCTCTTCTTTGGCCTCTCTTGCCTAGTTATGCTTCTAACCTCATGCACTCTATCTCTTAAAAATATTTTCTCTTCCTTTCTGTACCCAAATTCATTGAGAGGAAGTCCAAGCATTCAGAGTTCTGGTAACAATGTGTATTCAGAAATTAACACCAGGCTCATGATTCCTAGATCTGCCTAGATCAGGCCCACCTCAAATTCCGATTCCTTACCATGCTTTCCATTCCTTCTACTAGTAATGAATATAGCTTGTCTTATGTATTCTAGGGGCTCTGGTGGCATAGTGCCTAAGGCACTTGACTGCTAACCAGAAGGCTGGTGGTTCAAACCCACCAGCCACTCCTCGGAAGGAAGATGGGCAATCTACTTCCATCGTGATACTGCCTCAGAAACCCAAGGGGGGGGGGCGCTATGAGTCAGATCTGACTCGATGGCAGTGAATTTTTTTTTTTAAATGTATTCTAGGCACTATACCAGATACTTGGCAACATTAATGTATAAAATGGAGAAAGATCCCTGACCTGACGGAAGTTAACATTTTCGTAATTGTCAGAACAGCTCTGAAAGATTGTTCCTTTTTTCTCACATAGACAAAGGATTTATTAAAATTATGCTGCTACCTAAAGTAGTAATTTTCTTTAATGTGCCTTATATAGACACTTGGGGTAACAAGGCAATCTTTACTTCAGGAGAGAAAGGCTTTTCTGTAGCTGAGGGTTCTGTGAGGACAGACCAGTGTGCTGTGGCATATTTTCTCTAGTTAATCTTGTAAAAGATGAAAGTTTGAAGATTCTAAAAATAAAGTGGTTTCAGAGACAGATAAGTGGGTGAGGAGAGAAATATTTAAAGGCAAGTTATTCGAAGCTTTCCTTTCCTTGTGTTCCAGTGAGGAGAGAGGGAGGAGGCAGCCACCTAACAACCAAGGTATCAAGTATAGCTTAGGTAGGCTCTAAATAGGCCAAGCAGAAGCATGGTAAGAAAGTGGGAATGGCTGGACCGGACACGTGAAGCAGTGAGTGACTGGGTCTGGCTGTTCTAGCCATGGTCTCTGTGACTCCCACTAGACACTGGGTGGAATTATGCAAATGTGAGGTGCTTGTGGACCACCAAGGGGATTGGATACCTTGATAGGAATATAAATAAGGTACTTGGCTCCTTTGTGGGGGTGGGACCATGCAAATATGGTATATGGAAGTCTATCGTGGGGATTGGTTAGTTTTGTCATTCTGCTAAGCTTAAAATGAGCCCTCCTAGAGGCAGAAAGGAGGGATCTCACTGCTATCAAGAGAAAGGCCTGGAGGTGGAATGACGTGCACCATTGGACCTCCTCTGTTGGACCTCCTTAGCAGAGATGACCAGCGAGATGACTAACAGAGACAGCCAGCAGAGAGACAGCAGCAGCAGAACCAAGAGATTAGCGTGAGACAGAGTGGCAGGCTTGCTAGCCCACAGAATGAGAAAGCTGAGTGCCTTTGGACAGGAAACCTGCTCCTGGAGTGGGGTTTACCTACTGGCAGACATAAAGAGCTTTGTAATACTTGCCTGAGTAGGACAGAGGCCAGGCCAAGAGGCTGAGGGCCAAAGAGGCATGCCTTTGGGCATAGCCGAGGGGAGGCTGTCCTGATCAAAGAATTGTATTTCTGAACTTGGATTGTAACCTGTTATGTCCCTAATAAACCCCATAATCATGAGTATTGTCTGTTCTGTGTGACCATCGCAATGAATTATCGAACCCAGCAGATAAGTAGAGTGTGGTGGGAAGGATGGTTAGGGTCAGAGTTGTTGAAAGGTTAGAGGGTGGTGGTATGTCTGGCCTCATAGGAATAAGCCTTGGGCTGCTGATGGTGATTCTATCTCCCCCTTGTGAGGTTGGAGGTGGTAAGAGGATGTTGCCCATGCCTTTTTTGCAGGAGAGAATCTTGTAATGGCCTTTTAAAATATCCTATTTATTAAAATTATAATGGACTTGAAATAGAATATTTTAGTTTTATTCTTTATTATAGTTCTTCCTTGTTATTTTACAGATACTATACCCACTCCCTTGGAAGAAAGCCCATCTCTGCAGACAAATGTGAGTTTGGATAAGAGATCAAACAGTAATATTACAGATACCGTCATAGAAAGCCCCTTACAAACGCCTCAAGAAAAGCAGTCAGCTGCAAAAAGTTTTGAACCATTAACAACTTTACCAGCATTGTGGTCATCAAGTAAAGAAGAGTTTATCCCCAATATAAGAACATCAAAGTCAGCTTCTAGTTTTTATAACCAGGCCTCTGTAGAGACACTCTATGTCTCTCCCTCATTCGAAACATTTGACCCCATAAAGGAGATTGTAATCAATATGGACTCTCAGAAGCCAACACCATCCCGCATGGTCCAGATAGGTGATGAAGACCACCAGCCCTTAACCACATGGGGTAAGTCTAAGTAAAATAATAATAATAATAATAAAACTCTTTTGGAATATTCTTCTTTTTCTTTTCTCTGTTTTCTGTCTCTCTCACTTGTTCTCTCTCTCTCTTTGGTATCAGGTCTCATTGAAATGTACATGCTGAAGAGGCACTTCTCAGTTAGACTAATTTTATTATTTTATTAAAAGGGCTAATAGACAAAGCATCATCATGGATTACACGTGCTTGCTTGAATGCATTACCACAAATTCTGAGCAATTTAGGTGCAGACCAAATTAGAAGCAACTAATTACTAAATAAGAGCTATCTGTTTGATATTTAGGTTAGTTATTTAGGGACTATATGGAAAAAGTTTGTATGTATATATATATGTATATACATACATAAGCTTTTTTAAAAGTGCTGTGTACCAATTACAAAAAAGAGGAGAATTTCTTCCTTTTTCTTATTTTATAAAACACTAAGAGGGTTGCAATATTTTATAGACTAGATGACAAAGGGAAAAGCCAATTGAAATTTCAGATTAGGCTGTTTCTTCTTTAAAGTTAATTGGTAAAAGGATAATTTGTTTGCTTGTGATTTTTTTCAAAAACTAAGTAGTAGCTTTACTGGTTCTTATGTATAATAATATTTAACAAGTCATATAAAATTTTAATATCAATTTTTAAAATTACCTTCAATTTAGATCAAATGTGCTATATAAATACAAATAATGGAAGCTACCATGTTAGGGCTAAAGAAATTTACTTGAAGCTAGTGAGATCAATGAACAACAAAAAATTTTCCATACTGCCTCCTTCCAGAATTTTTTGGTGTTGAACAAACTGATTCTTAGTTTTGTCATCAAAATGACTTTTCTGCTGAGAGAGCTGATGTGGAAACCAATTATTACTGCTTATGACTGTCTGCTACAAAAGACCTCTTTAAAGTATTAAAGAACAAAGATGTCACTTTGGCAGTGAGGGTGCACTTGACCTACGACTTGGTATTTTCAGTAACTTCGTATATGTGTGAAAACTCGATGATACAAAGGAAGATCAAGAAAGACTTGACACGTTGGAATTGTGGTAATGGCAAAAAATATGGGATAGACCATGGACTGCCAGAAGAACGAACAAATCTGTCTTGAGGAAGAACTGCCAGACTGTTCCTTGGAAGCAAAGATGGCAAGACTTCATCACACCTACTTTGGGCATCACACCTACTTTGGGCATGTTATTAGGAGGGACCAGTTGCTGAGGAAGTCATCGTGCTTGGTAAAGTAGAGGGTCAGCAAAGAAAAGAGGGAGACCTTCACTGAGGTGCACTGACCCCGTGGCTACGACAACTGGCTCAAACATAGCAATGATCATGAGGATGATGCAGGACTGAGTAATGTCTTGTTGTACGTAGGGCACTGTGAGTTGGAGCCAATTCAGTGGCATCTAATAACAACAACATGATGGCTATGAAAGCTTATTATGTCCATGACTGCCCCCTGGTAAGCTGGTATTTTTGATTTATTTCTTTTGCAAATACCACAAAAATATCATTGAAAAAAATATATATTTTGCCATTGCCTCTGTACCAAGTTCTTGTAATTATAAATATAAGCAAAATTTTTCTGTAAAACCAGTTAGCAAGGAAGACTTTTGTTTCTAACTATGATGAAGTAGATAATATTTATCTAACCCTCTCACCAAAAATAATAATTAAAGTTGGAAAATTATTAAAATCTGTTTTAAAATCAAGATTGTGAGTAATCAAGGTAGAAAAGACACGAGGGGCCAAAGTCCCAGAGAGAATGACATTGAAATGCATCCCACATTCGTCCCAGTTTTTCCCCTTGGATCATTTGCCTGTTAGCAGAGCAGGATGACAGAAGCTGAGGGAAAATCAGAGACCTGGGCTCTCCACAGTCTCACTGAGCACGGGCGACAAGATTGGAGTTTGGGGCTGCCCAGATGGCAGGGAATTGAAGAGCCATATTCTAGAGAAGAAGGAATTAAGAGAATAAAGCCCAAAAATCTGTGTAATTTCTTACTGAAGCATTTTTCTACTGCTAAACTACACATGTTCCAGGTGAGATGCCAAAAATCTAAGTGGGAAGCAACTTTTAAGAAGTCAGTGAACTAAGCAGAGATTCTGATATCTTGTGGTGCTAGGAGACAGAGGGTAGAAGTCAGAATACACCAGTGAGAGGTTCCCTAATAAACACTCCAGGCTTTCAGTTGAGACTCTTGACAGCCTACACCCTAAGCACCAGAACTCCATTCTAGGAGTAAGGACAAACCAGAAAGAGAACCATCCTGAGAAATGCTGAAGCCCACCTTCAACGAGCACAAACTGATCGACTTGTATTTCATCTGCCTACAAGAAGACAATTAAATCTTTTCTGAGAGCCTTTGCAATTTTTCATACTTTTTTTTTTTATTTGAAAAAACTTATTAGGCATATCAGGAAACAAATGACCAGAAATACAAAAGAAAAAATAAGCAACAGAAACATACCCACAACTACTCCAGATATTAAAGTTATAAGATTAAAAACAAAACAAAACAACAACAACAACAAAAAACCACTGCCATTGAGTCGATTCTAACTCATAGCAACCCCCATAGGGTTTTCGAGGTGGTAAATCTTTACGGAAATAGATTGCCTCATCTTCCTTCCATGGAGTGGCTGTTGGATTTGAACTGCCATCCTGCTGGTTAGCAGTCAGATGCCTTAGGCACTGCACCACCACAACTCCTTGAGTTGTAACATTGAATAAAAAACAAACTTACTGCCATCAGGTCAATTCAACTCATAGCAACCCCTCCTTGGGTTTCCAAGGTGGTATCTCTACAGAAGTAGATTTCCCAATCTTCCTTTCAAGGAGTGACTGGTTTGAACCACCAGCCTTCTGGTTAACAATCAAATGCCTTAGGCACTATGCCACCAAAGCTCCCAAGTTATAAGATGTTGTTGTTGTTGTTATGTGCTGTCGAGTCGGCCCGACTCATAGTGACCCCTCCTTGGGTTTCTGAGGCAGTATCACTACAGAAGTAGGATTGCCCAACCTTCCTTCCGAGGAGTGGCTGGTGGGTTTGAACCGCCAGCCGTCTGGTTAGCAGGCAAGTGTCTTAGCCACTATGTTATAAGATAGATACTTTAAAATAACTATGATTAACATGATCATGAAAACGGAGGAAAAGACGGAGAATTTCATCAGAGCACTCCAAAATACTAAACTCTCTGCCACTGAGTTGATATCAACTCATGGCAACCCCCATTGGGTTTCTAAGGCTGTAAATCTTCATGTAAGCAGATTGCCTCATCTTACTTCTGTGGAACAGCTGGTGGATTTGAACCATTGAACCTTTGGTTGGCCGCAAAATGTCTTAACCAGTATGCCACCAGGGCTCCTTTATATTTTAAAAAAGAGAATCACATAATTAAAAAGAATTTTAATCAAATGAAAATTCTAGAGCTGAAAACTCCTCAGGTCCTGAGATATCAGAAGACAGAGTTCAATGCTGGCAGAGCAGCTTGAAAGTTACGAGTAAAATCTTAAAAGGAAGGGAGATGTACAGGAAGTGAACCCCAAGATCTATGTATATAAACTCTGCCCAACTCGTTGGCTGACCACTAAGCTATATGAGAGAAGACTCTAATGAGTCTGGCAAAGAATGAAAATAAAATTCTGCTTGAAACCAAAAGAATTACAGACATCAATTGCTGGTCACTATAGGGAGACAGTTTGAAGAGTCCAGATAAATTAGCTTCCTACTAGAACAAAGATCAACACTCTTCAGGAAGTGTGACAGAATCCAGTGACTCTACAGTGTATCATCTGAATGTCCAGTATGAAATAAAGCCGTTAGAAAGACCAGAAAAAAAAACAAAACAGGAAAATGTGATCCACAATGAAGATAGAAGAAGTCAATAGAAATTATCTCTGAGATAATCCAGATTCCAATTAGCAGACAAGTTCTTAAAGCAGCTATTATAAATAGAATAATTGTTGTTGTTGTTGTTAAGTGCCGTCGAGTCATTTCCGACTCATAGCGACCCCATGCACAGCAGAACGAAACACTGCCTGATCCCGCGCCAG